TTTCTTCATTGTGAAAATCAATGACGACTCAAATAATTTCGTAATTTGATTTCCCTCAAAGACGTAATCTGTTACTTGATGAATCAAATTTTTCATTTGCACTCTTTTTCGAGGGGGGTGCTCGGGTAAGCGTCCACCCCTAAAATATCGTGATTTTCTGAGTTGAGGCCCCTGGGCGCTAACGCGGTCGAGTACCGTAATAAGCACAATTCCAATTATATTCAGAGCATGTAAATTATTGTCTTACCATTGGTTTTTGTGAAAATCCTGTGGTTGGAGGTGGTGCAGTGGGAGGCAGACTTCCTGTAGACTGAGAAATTGTTGGCTGCGTCTGGGCAAATACTCTTTGCGGCCGCCTGGATCCAAACAGTGACTGATCCTGTTGATGCTCACCAGTCGGAGGTGGAGGGGGAGAGGCAAACTGTTGCGGTGAATAGTACTGTGTTTGAGGAGGAGGAAGGGGCTGATCAACAGGAGGTGGTTGCATTGAAGGTACCTGCTGTGTGAATGGATCAGGTTGTGGTGATGGCTGTTGCTGAAGAAACGGGAAGGTCATTCCCTGCTGTGGTTGTTGTAGATCTGTAGGTGGTGTGTCACTTTGACCAAGAAAACTATCAGCTTCACCATCCTCTGTAACAGAAAGCTTAAAATTTAACTTTTGGACAAAATAGTTTTGATGTCTCCAGAATCAACTTACAAAACATGATTTAACAGGGCATTTTGCTAAGAAATACAAAATATAAATTATAGGATTGGAGTGATTATCACAAAATGAATAAAAATAAGATATATAAAAAGCTGAAAAATTAAATTAATGTTTCTGGTAAGTGTGTACACCACCAAAAATAGTGCAGTCTGACTCTTCTAACTGCCACATCATGTTCCATATGGGACCCATAGCAAGGTATACAATAAAAGTAAAATGCATTGCTTGCTTACACGTAATTACATATGGGGCAACAAGTTAACAAATATGCTCAATAGTTCACTGGCAACTTTGGTTTTGACAAAGAAGATTTGACCATCACAAACAATTTTGCATGCTCTTCAGTCCTGTAAAACATCATAAACTTGTTTAAAATTTGGTTGTGATAGAATGAAAGGTAATATTCAAATTGTACTTCATCTGCTGTAGTCAAAACAAAAGTGGATGGCAGATTAGTGCATTTACAGCAGGCACAAAATAGTTGCATACAACTACCACCAAGCCTGATTTTTATGTTTTATCAGAAGTAAAGTAACAAGGCTAGTTGACATTTGCCGCTACTCTTGCTGGAAGGTATCCAACTAGTGTGATGTATTGTTGTCTTTGCAAGCCCAACTCACTGAAGATCACTCGCAAACTGATTCCACTCAAGAAGAGACGAAAATGTTCAATACAATATATTCAATTTAACTTGCAGGTACGTTGCTACATGTAGTATGGGACCCATATCAAATGCACAGACCTTGATGACGAGTGTCTGGTGTTTATTTTCATATCCATGAAACATCAAACCATTAAAAAATTAAACTTAGGGTACAAATATGCATTAGAATGACTCAATGATTTACGATTTGATTGTTCTATCCCATCACTCTTGTGAATATGGAGTTAAATTAGAGTGATGAACCAGCTGTGAGAAACGGTTACATACAAGGAGCTATTGTTCAAATATCGATATTAAAATTGGAAAGATTATAACGGCAACATATTGCAGGCTACATATACAATTCAAACAGTCCGGCTGCTCTATAGTGTAATTTGAAATAATCGGAAAGCTAAATCAGAAACAAACCGGAAGAAGAAAGAAGATGAAACTGCGGTTCGACGTTTCTTGGCGTCCGCTGTTATTTGTTTGGCCAATGAAGCAAATGCGTTACATGGACAATATAATGAAATGTCACAAACCTGTAGGAAACAGAGAAGCCGTTGCGGGTACTGGTACTAATTGGGGAGCGAGACCCTCACTGGGAGGAAACAGTAAAAGAGGAGGTTGGCCCTTTTCCGCCATGTTGCGAGACTGCACACGTCAGGATTCTCCCTCGCCCAACAGTTGATGGCGCCTTGTCTCTACGTGAGGAAATACGGGACAAACTCACAAATGTTTTGGTTTGAGGTCAGAGGTTAACCAATCACGTGAAAAATTCCCGCCACACGGAAAGCGTTGGAACTGTCTGCTGTGTGTTTGAAATTATCTGTGAAAACATCGTATTGTTTATCATGCCAGGAATTGAAGACTGGTTGAATTGTCCTCTGGATATCGTCCAAAGAATATTCGGTAAGAAAATGTGACGCTTTGAGAAAAAAAATAATCATTTTTAAATCGCGGACTACATAACCGGTTTCAACTTTCATTGTCCCAAGATAATACAAGTAATGACACGACCTTGCAGCGGCGGTACAAATTCTACGTAATTTACTGTTCAGGCGGCGTTTTCGCGGGGATCTGTATGTCGTTTTTCATGGTAGTCTCCAAAAAAAAATTATGGATTTTAATTTGCCAAATCAGTTATTTGTAATTTTATGAATCTGTCAATTTCTTTCTATTTTTACTTTTATTCTTTGTGATGATAATAAATATTAGATTACCCGTTTACATTTGCAATACCGGCACATTTGAAATTACATTTTTTCTTTCATCTAGATTTTCGCAAAATACAAAATAATTTATACTGCATATTTATGACGTGTGTGCAGATATTTAATATATTAATTCAATAAATTGTTGATTTGTGTCTCAATATGATTAGAATAATAATTGATGTATGTAATAATAATAAATTATAATAATCTTTATTGCATAATCGTATCCTTATTTGGATATTGACTCAGAAAAAAATTATAATAAAGATGAAAAACTGAGGAAGTAACAAAATGGATGTGCTAAAATTGAAAAGAATAATAAAAAAAAAGAAATAGTTTATTTAGGGGCAGTTGGTAGTTTTGAAATGATTTTTTATGGCACTGAAACAATTATAGATGTAGCTTGCTAGTTTTGTTATTTTTTGGCTAATATTGCTTATTGCATTGTAATCAATTTATTTGTGTTGTTGCAATGTATTAAATTTAATTCCGTTTCAGGATTTCAGTTTTCATACAGCTTGCATTCAGTAAGAAATGCATTTTGTCTTACAACCTCATTTTGGTTGCAAGCAGTGCAATTTCTACCACTGCAAGGAATTTTTTTGTATCGTCCTTTCTATATTTCTAAATTATGGGCGCTAATTTTCAATTTTGTTAATAGTGCTCTATGTTTTGCATTTGTTACTGTTAGATAATTTTCATACTGGCAATTTTTCTTTAGCAGTCTATATGTACGCAGCTTATTCTTTTGTTTTTATTATCGTCATGGATTTGTTCTTGACTCGTGTTTTCAAATACTTTTTTGAGTTTAATGCAAATTGTGTTAATTAGATTGGTGTTATAATTTGGACCATTATTTTCCCATGACTTGTCCATTTTTGATACCAGGTATCCAATTAAGTATGAATATTTTTAATCTGAATGCCTAGGTCATGCTCTCAACTCAAATATTTTCAATATATATTATGAGGTTATCCAGAGAATACTGCAAAGTATGCAGGAAAGTAGTTTGGTGATCAGATTGACTGTTGCGTACCAGAGGTTGTTTAGACCCAGACTACCTGAGTGCGTACTTTGCGATGTTTTTGTGATAACCTTATTAATATGTATCTATTTCCTGCTTGTAGAGAGATTATAGGTTGAGTTGATGAGAAAAGTTTTGCGCTATGTGAATGTTTGTGTGAGTGACAGGTTTATATTTCCATTGTATGCTACATGTATGATGCTATCGCTTCAGTGTCCAATGTGAACATGGGAAAGTGTTCAAATGTGACGTCAAATAAGCTGGAACACATCAATGTTCGTGTACATGTATAAGGGAAAATTCAAACGAGTGTTAATGCGTCTTGTTGCAGAATGTTTTTGGAATGTTAGTTTTTGGTACTAGATGTGTTTTATCATACATGTACCATATAAGCCCAGGGACCTGAACATGTAAAATCGGGAAAATTAAGGGGTGGGCTTATACTCGAGGACCACCTCAGAAAAGACAATTTTTTGGGAGGGGGGGTAAAATTTTAACGATCTACGAAGTAGAATTACAAATTAATCTTTTCAACGCAATGCAGAAGTGAATTACCGCGATGTTAAAATGCGATCTGATTTT